ACTTGAAAAGTCCTTATCACTCCTCTGGGCCCCCTCTGCTTTCTAAATGAATCAGAAGATAAACATGTCATAGAATTGCATCTCTGCTCTGACAGCATAAGACTCATGACCTGTTTTTCCATTTTGTCCTTTAAAGAAAAGCAAAACTCTCCTTTTCCAGCAACTTTCTATTAAAAATTTGCCAACTAAGGGTAACTTGGAATTTGCATAGAATTCCTTCAGCAACACTCTGGAACCCTGCAAAATTTACAACTGCGCAAGAGAGTTCCACATAAGAAAAAAACTTGCAGAGAATACTATCTTTACTTAGCAAAAAAAAAAAAAAACCAGACATGACAAATTTAAATGAGGCCTTTTGGCATATAGATTTAAACAGGCTTTATGGTAGCCGTACATTTCTAAGCATTTTAGTTGCAAGCTAGTGATTGTAAAGAATGCTTAAGCCAGGAATGGTAAAACCCGACACACATGGATGGGCCATCGCAGACAGTATTAGTTGATCAAAGCACTGTTTCTCACTGAGTCTGAATGCAGTGTCTGTATTCTCAACACAACAGTCTGGTTGATCAATGTTCTTAAACTACTGGAAAACACTCAGGGAAGAGAAATACAAAACAATATTAAGGCTACAACCATGAAGAAAACAAAGTCTTTGCCCACGTGGAGCTAGTTCCCAGTGGGCAAAACACAAAATGAATTGATAACCACATATATATTTAATATTTGAGCAGAGTTTTCTAATGACATTCCTGTTCTCTGTTTCTCTCCCAAATTATCAGAATGATGATTTTTATCAGGGCACGTGGCCTCCCAGCTAAAAAACCACATTTTCCAGCCTCTCCTATGGCTATGTATGGCATAGAACTAAGTTCTGATCAATGAGACGTAAGCAGATATGCTTTGGAAAATATAATCTTTCGGAACTTCCTCCAGCAAGTTTCTTTTTGAAAAAAGGCAGCAAACTCTTCTTTTCTTCCATCCTGCTCCTGGGAAACTGGATTTTACTGCTAGAGAGAACCAGCAGTTGTCTTGAACATAGAGGAAGAGCACCACATTCTATACTCTGTGTTTGAAAGTTCGGGAGAATCTTCAGTTCTCAGTAACCATGGAGGCACTCTACTGTCCGGGGCTGTCAAACTCCATACATTTTTTTAATTAAGAAATAAAAACATTTCTTCCTTATTTAAGCTACTACTTTTCAAGTTTCTGTTATAGCTCAATCTAATTCTAATGGATATTTAAAAAATACATATGCATACCATACATAATACTGAACTAGACACTTAGGAGTGAAATAGATGTCCAAGAGTGGATATCAATTGATTATAAAAGAGAAGCAGGCTTCAGTATTCTAAGTGGAACGAACAATTATAGATTTAGATTTTGACATTTGGCAAGAGTAAACGCATGTATTTTCTTTTTTTTTTTTTAATTTTTTGCAGTTGTAGATTGTATTTATGAGGAGCATGATTTCTGAAAGTTGCAGTGTTTGCACTGAGTAAATTAATGAATGGTTAAGCTGCTATATTAAATTGAGGTATTGTTTTATGTTTTAAAACAGTTTACAGAGCTATAAATTTCCCATTTGCATTGGGTAGTCCAAGGAAACATGTTTCATCTGCATCCTAGCCCTCTTTGTCTTCTTTCATCAAAGCATCAGCACCATTGAAATGCCAGTGCTGCAATCCTGTTCTCTTGTTCCTAAAGCACCAAAGCCATCCTTATTTGCATATTAGTTGGCATAAATTTGAATATTAATTTCAATAGGCATTGTCTCTAAATCCTGAAAATAAACACAGCCTGCTGCAATTATACAGATAACTGGTATTTAAGGCTCCTGAGTGCCCAAAAGTTTTAAACCTTCTACATTTACACTCAGATTATTCTTACAGATACTCACACAAACTCCATCACATAGTGGTCAAATTACAGGTTGTGAACTTTATAATGAATTTATTCTCTTCATTTATTTCTATGTTTCCAGATGTCAAAGTTTCTGGTTTGGAAGATCTGATGATCCCATTTCAGGAATATATTGGTCAGAACCACTTTTTTCTTTTCTATTTTTAGCTACAAATGACAGAAAACTAACCTAAAGCTGCTTTCAGCTAAACTGAATGTATTGGGTCACTCAACTCGGGAGTCCCAGGGTTGCCTGCCTTTGGGCACAACTGGCCTCCTGTGCTCGGATGATTTCTCTCTCTCTACCTTTCTGCTCTGCCTGACTCCTCTGGCTTCATTCTCAAGGAGATTTACTGTATATATAGTAGCCAAGATATCCCTGCCAATCCCAGTCCTAAGCCTATATTTTTCCTGCACCTTAAGATTTCAGAACAAGAAAGACCCTCTCCTTTATATCAATCCCCAGGAGAAAAAAAAAATGTTTCTAGCCAACCTCAATCAGGTGCCCAGCCTATATGGCTGACAGGCTTGCCAGAATCACATGTAGTGAGGAATTGATCCCAGAAGGAAACAATGGGAGTGGTCAAAAAATAAAAATAAAATAAAACTTTTAAAGAGTAATGAAGGAAAGCATGGTCATTCATTGGCTTTTACTAAACTGAGAATGAATCAACTTTTCACTGGGCTAGAAAATCTGTGTCCCTTATTAGCAAGTTCAGGAAAACCACTAGGGAAATGCAGTGTATACCAGTGCTTCTCAAATCAACATGTGCAAACAAATCACCTGGAGTTTTGAAAAATGCATATTTCTGATTTGGCAAGTTTGAGGTAGGACTCAAGAATCTGTAGGTAGCGCAAGTTTCCAGGTCATGCTGACTCTTCTGGTTTGTGGGCCACACTATGAGTGGCAAAGGTGCACCTTCATCACTACTGAAATTCTGACCCCAAGAGAGCAGCTTTCTGGCTTCCTTTCTTCAGAACTGTTTCACCGTCTTCACTTTGCTACAGCCCATGGATAAAGCTGTCTTTACTGCCACCATTCGAGGGATAGCATGGATAAGGCCCCTGCCTTTGTTTAATCTCCTGGAACGGTTTTACTGGCTTCTGCTTTGGATACAAAAGAGTCCCTAGTGGACAAGAGCCTTCTCTCTGACTGGCACCTGTCGAAGCTGATACACTGAGCTGAGCAATTAGGGCTTGTGGTTGTTTGACTGCCTTTCAGTTTGCATTCTCTTAAATTATGGAGAGTTTAGAAAAACTGTGCTACTTCCCAGCTACTCAGGAGGCTGAGGCAGGAGAGTTGCCTGAACCCAGGAGGCAGAGGTTACGGTGAGTCGAGATCGCACCATTGCACTCCAGCCTGGGTAACAAGAGCGAAACTCTGTCTCAAAAAAAAAAAAAAAAAAAGAAAGAAAAGAAAAGAAAAACTGTACTACTGATAGCACTACTTTCTGGACATACAAAATTACTTGTTTGTATAATTTATACCAAATTCATAAGTCTTACTCAGCACCTGGGTGTTCTTGCTCATTTAGCATGCAGGTGTATGAAAGATGTATAAGACCTTCACTGGGATGCTCTCCAGACATAATACCCATCAGCTGCATCCTGAACAACAAGAATTTCATCTGGGCTTTCACACAGGGGCATGAGAATGTGAACAACAAGTGGAACAAAGCATTATTTGGCTGAACACTACACTTCGGTGCCTCCCTTGCTACTTTTTTGCAGGCACAACCTGACTTCCTCCCCCAGGACCCCCCACAACTGAGCCCACATCCAACTGTCTGCTCATTATCTCTGTGAAGGAGCAATGGGTGAAGAAAAAACCTAGCAGGATTGAGGAAAATCGCATCATGTACTTTTCTTCAACATCTTTAATAGGTGGATGACAATGAACTTCAAGAATGGTCTTAATGGGGGAAGAGAATTCTTGAATGGTACCCGTGGAAGCAGAGAGAGGCAATCCTACCCTGACCTGGGAGATCTCAGGAGTTTATGGGCTAACTGTATGCAGAAGAATATATGTAGATTTTATTTGGAGAAGTCATCTCCTTTTTCTCTGCTTTTCTCCCTCTCTGAGACACTGCCCAAAAAGCAGCCACACTGAGGAAGAAAGCAGGACATGTGGAGTTGGGGCAACACCAGCCGACTCCCTTGCTGCACCCCACCCCTAGCCCTCCAGTTCAGAGTTGCATGTGCCACACTCTTGCAAATATCTGTCCTGGAGTCATAGCTCAGTACACAGTGCCTAAGAAGAAGAAAATGTCAGGCTAGTCAAGTGTTTGATTGCAGGCACTTACTTGCTTGAGGCACAGGACTCAATTTCCTTTACGCAAAATAAGCCATTCTTGGGAATCAAAAATTCATACCACATTTTGTGTAAATCTGATGGGAAATTTTGTCTGGGGAAATTCTCGCAACTTAAGATAGGCAAATTCACTATTTGACTGTAATGCCAACCCATGATCCAGTGCTACTACCCTGCCTCTCATAAGATGAGAGGCTATAAACACCAGTATATTAAAAATGTATCCACCAAAGTAAAATTAGTGCTCAGCAGATGCTTATTTTTCTAGAATTTTATTTCTCAGATGGATTGGTATAATTTTTAGTGGTACATGTTGCAAGCCTATAATAAATATATAAGCCCATCAAACCTGATAGAAAACTCCATCAGATAATACACTGGGAACTGGGGATTAATTCTATACTAGCCTCAGGGGATGCACCTCGTGACCTAATAGAATGTTTCCAATTCTAATTTCTCTGGTTCTGTGAAATCAATTTTTCTACAAACTATAACCAGTACATGAGTGTTTTGCAAAAACTAATCGTATTGGCATAATAAGCATGTCAAGTTACGGTGAAATGGACATTCTGTTGTTCTTTTATTGAAACTAATGGGCTAGCATTAGAAGGAATAAAATACTGGAAATGATAACAGTTTATGGCTTTGATTTTTTTTTTTTTTTAGCTTTTTAAATTTGATGGTATAGCATATTGGCTCTCAATCTCCTTTTATGAGTATTTGAGTTTGACCCTGTTAAAAAATGACAAAGAAATTGCTAGGAAAAAGCATTTTCTCACTATCTTACCCTCAGCAGTGCAGTCAAGAAATAGCCATGCTGTGGCATCTTCATCTGCGAGGTTCATATGTCAGCAGCTGCTGCTGGGAAGGTTCAATGAGAGAGAAGAGTTACGAGGATAAGTCTCCTGCTTTGTAATGTTGACAAATTAGCCGATCTCAGCTCTTCGTCTCAAAAATACTTCTGCCCGAGGAGAATCAGATGAAATTGAAGTTGGTAATGCCAACCCAGGATGACCTTGAATGAAATAGATCTCTGTGTTTACTAGGCATGGAGATTACAGTGGACTCATCAATCAGGAGGCCACCAGTGTCATAGATTTACCTTACTAATTCAAATCTTCCCAGGCATTGGAAGCTAAATCCTGACTGGTAATTATTATTGCTGTTGTTAGTTAATGGGATTTGGAAGCCTCTCCCAAACCTGATGGGCTTTCATCTTTGATACTTTCACAATTATGGCTGATAAATAATTTGGAGATTATATATTTAGTATATAAATATATAGGACTCTCCCATGAGCCTAAAAGTTCTATGAAGTTAGAACTATATTTGGCCTTTCTAACCTTTCAGCTCCAGTTGCTAGCCAGGTGCTCAGTAAGCAGAAGGTCCAGTGTGTTCAGTAATAGTTTTCACATGTCCTGACATAATGACTAAAAAAATATACAGTCACTCTCTCAGTAAGTGTGTGTTAGATGGATGAATGGATGAGCCAACACTTGGCCATGTTTTGGAAATGACATTGGGCTTGGCGTCAAAAGAAACTGGATTGAGTCATAGCTCTGCCCCATATCAGTTATATGACTTGGATAAGTGACTTAAGTTCTTTTCTTCACAGTGAAACAGGAAAAAGAGAAATACGATGTCTATCACATTGTAACTTCTCAATAAGTATTTATTTTCTTTTTTAATTAAGGCAGCACTATCCAATACAGGAATAGTTCATTGTATTGCATTTCTCTTTATTGCATATTGCAGATATTGCTTTTTTTTTTTAACAAATTATAGGTTTATGGCAATGCTGCATCAAGTATCTTTCAAGCTTTCCAGCAACATGTACTCTCCTCATGTCTCTATGCAAAATTTTAGTAATTCTTATAATATTTCTAACTTTTTCACTATTATTGTATCGGTTATAATGATCTGTGATCAGTCTTTGATGTTACTATTGTAATTGTCTTGCGGTGCCATGAAATATGCTTATATAAGATGGCAAACAATTCATAAATGTCTGTGGTCTCACTGCTCCAACTGACTATTTTCCATCTCTCTCCCTTGCCTCTGGCCTCTCTGTTCCCTGAGACACAACAATATTGAAAGTAAGTCAATTAATAACCCTACAACAGCCTCTAAGTGCTCAAGTGAAAAGAACAGCTGCATGTCTCTCACCTCAAATCAAAATCTAGAAATGATTAAGCTTAGGGAAGAAGATATATTGAAAGCTGAGACAGGCCAAAAGCTAGGCCTTTTGTGCCAAACAGTTAGCCAAGTTGTGAATGCAAAGGAAATTAAAAGTGCTACTCCAGAGAATACATAAATGATAAGAAAATGAAACAGCCTCATTGCCAATATGGAGAAAGTTTCAGTGGTCTGGATAGAAGATCAAACCTTACAACATTCCCTTGATCCAAAGCCTAATCCAGATCAAGGCCCTAACTCTTTAATTCTATAAAGGCTGAGAGAGGTTAGGAAGCTGTGGAAGAAAAGTGGGAAGCTAGCAGAGGTTGGCTCATGAGGTTTACGAAAAGAAACTGTCTCTCTAATATAAAAGCGCAAGGTGAAAGAGCTAGTGCTGATATACAAGCTGAAGCAAGTTATCCAGAAGATCTAGCTAAGATAATTGATGAAGGTGGCTACACTAAAAACATATCTTCAATGTGGAGAAAGTAGCCTTTTATAGCAAGAAGATACCATCTAGGACTTTCCTACCTAGAGAGGAGAAATCAATACCTGGTTTCAAAGTTTCAAAGGACAGGCTGACTAGGGGCTAATGCAGCTAGTGACTTAAGGTAGAACAATGCTCATATACCATTCTGAAAGCCCTAGGGCCTTAAGAATTATACTAGATCTTCTCTGCCTGTGCTCTGTCAAAAGAAAAACAAAGCCTGGACAAGAGCATATCTGTTACAGCAAGGTTTATTGAATATTTTAGGTCCACTGTTGAGACCTACTGCTCAGAAAAAATATATATCTTTCAAAATATTACTGTTCATTGACAATGTAACTGGCCAACCAAGAGCTCTGATGGAGATGTACAAGGAGATTCATGTTGTTTTCATGCCTGCTAACATGACATCTGTTCTACAGCCCGTGGATCAGGAAGTAATTTTGACTTTCAAGTCTTATTATTTAAGAAGTATATTTCATAAGGCTAAAGCTACCATAGGACAGTTATTCCACTGATGGATCTGGGCAAAGTAAATTAAAAGCCTTCTGGAAAAGATTCACCATTGTACATGTCATTAAAAACATTCATGATTCATGGGAGGAGGTCAACATATCAACATTAGCAGGAGTTGGGAAAAGTTGATTACAACTCTCATGGGTGATTTTGAGGGGTTCAAGACTTCAGTGGAGGAAGCAACAGCAGATGCAATGGAAATAGCAAGAGAACTAGATTTAGAAGTGAAGACTGAAAATGCAACAGAATTACTACAATCACATAATAAAACTTGAACAAATGAGGAGTTACTTCTTCAGGATGAGCAAAAAAGGTGAAGATGCTGTGAGCACTGTTGAAATGACAACAGAGGATTTAGAATATTATGATTCTAAACTGAACTGATAAAGCAGTGGCAAAGTTGAGAGGATTGACTCCAATTTTCCAAGAAGTTCTACAGTGGGTAAAACACTATCAAAGAGCATTGCATGTTGTAGAGAAATCTTTCATGAATGAAAGAGTCAATCAATGCAGTGAACTTCATAGTGTTCTTAATTTAAGAAACAACCACAGCCACCCAAACCTTCAGCAGCCACCTTGCTAGTGAGTCAGCAGCTATCAACATTGAGGCAAGACCCTCCACCAGCAAAATAAGATGATCATTAACACATTTTAGCAATAAAACATTTTTAATTAAGGTACATACATTTCTTATATACACTGGGAAGCTAAAAAATTTGTGTGACTCACTTTATTGTGATCTTCGCCTCACTGCAGTGGTCTGGAACCAAATCCACAGTGTCTGTGAGGTGTGTCTGTACAGCTTGCTGCGATGACAAAAACGTTCAGTGTCTGAACTGTCCAGTATGGTAGCCAACAGCCACACATGGATATTGGGCACTTGAAATGGGACTACTGTGAACCGAATAACTAAATTTTTTGTTTTATATCATTTTAATTAACCTAAATTTAAATAGTCACATGTTACTTAGTGGCTACTATTTTGGACAGCATTGGTCTAGTGGACTCCATGGGTTTTAGAAGACCCAAATTGGGAAATTACATAAATGGCAAGTAATATAGAGCTTTCAATAATTGTTTTGGGATCTTCAGCCTCTAGAATTAATGAATATATTTCAGTTCCTTTTGTGAGTCATGTTTTCTGGGGCTGACCAGTGTGCATTATTTTAGTAAATTGTCACTATTTGGATGATTGTTAACTATTTTAAAACCCAGAACAGTTCTCTAAATACCACACATCTGATATGAAATGACTTTGCTTTTTCACTCATGAGAGACAGACCTCTGGAGAACCCCTCACCTCGCCAGGAGAAACACAATTTTACAACACCACTTGGCTCCATTCAAAACTGTGAAGCCACCAAATGCTTTTTTACTTATGACATAAGTAACTCATAGTTGCTTGGACTTTTTCCTAGCTTTGGTGAACAATATTTTAAGCAACTTTGGTCAATCTTTTTAAATTCTGGATTTAAATTTAAACTTAGGGGGGAGATAAATATGTTTTGCTCAATTAAGATTACAGACTCTCACATTAGTCTTTGAGCAGTGGTTAATTGAAGGAGGAGAAAAATGGCATGGTACATTTTCACTGGAGTCTAGAAAAAATTAAATGAAATAATTAATTTTGACATTTTACCTGGAAAGGGGTCATCATTTAAAAACTCAGCTGACTTTTCTCTCTATCTACCTACCATTTAAACTTGTAGTCATGAATCATTCACTCAAACCACAGTAGGAAATTGCATTGTGAGCTGATTTTTAAAGCATTTTGTATACATAGTAATACAAAAGCTCATAATCACTGGAGGAATCGAATGCGTACTGGTTACCAAATACGCAGTACTGGAAATTTCAAAATGCTGAAAGGAGACCAAATCTGTATTTTTAATTTGTTTGAATCAGTAGTAAAACAGTTCATCTGAAGAGAAAGCAAGTTCTTTTTTCGCTACAATAGTATGCAAAAGAAGCAATAATATCTAATTGGGCAGGCTGACAGACTGCTGTCCAAAGACAGTTGAATTATAGTAGCTATCATTTTGTCCTTTTTGGGTCACCTTATGAGTTTTCTTCTTTTTTTTAATAGCATTTTAGGTTTTGGGGTACATGTGAAGAACATGCAAGATAGTTGCATAGAAACACACGTGGCAGTGTGATTTGCTGCCTTCCTCCCCTTCACCTATATCTGGCATTTCTCCCCATGCTATCTCTCCCCAACTCCCCACCCCTTTCTTCTTTATGGATGCGCAGAACTGGCCTTTCAGAATGTGCCTAGATGAGAAATTCATTTCTAGTCATTATCGCCACAACTTTAGCTAGAAAACCAGCTCCGTTCCAAATCAGGACAAAGTAAAAGCCTAGATTTTTATATAGGCAAACACAATTTTTAACTGGCTCTCCTTAGAAGTCATTGCCCCTTGTTGCCTGGTTTTTGCTGATGGAAAGCCAAGCCAGGTCACATTATTGGGTAGCTCAGTGCACAGCAACCGTTAATTATTAACTCCAGTGGAGAGGAGAGTGGTTCATGAGATTACTGTATATGCAGTTACGACATGATTAATTCTCTGCTCATCAATCCAATTTTTTTATCAGAAGCGTTGCTGCAAATATGGCATAAATTTCCTGGGCACGGCATTCAGTTCCACCTTATTATGCAGCACAGCTTCAAAGATATGAGGTTCCATGTCTAATCTTGATTTAATTTTAGAAGAAGTCCGCTCTCTGGCTTGCTATAAGATGCATTCCATTTCTGATGTTTTCCACGATTCTGAGACAGACTAGAAATACATGTGTGAATTGTGGTAGCGAAGAATAACCCTGGATCTGGAATTAACAAG